GGACGCTGGTGCACACGCAGCCTCTTTTGCACAAGAGGACAGGCGTGCATCGCCCTGGGGAGTCTGTGTAACACAGCACAGACACACGTACACACTTGGGTCTCCAGACCCCCAGCAAGTCCCCGGGAAGGGTCGGGGTTAGGGTATGGGAGGTGTGGAGGCCCAGCCTCTGTATCTAAAGGGTGAAAGGGGTGTAAAGCCAAACACATGGTGACGGGGAGATAGGAGCACAAGCCACGCACAGCAAAGGAAACAACAGAATACACAGATGTCCACGGTGACAGAAGTTAGAGCCACTGACAGCCACAGCCACACACAAACTCAGAAGGACACAAGCTGGGGGATTTATGGGTCCGTAAACGCTACAGCCAGCAGGCTACCCCAAGGGCACAGTAGCACGGGACACAGCTATATACCCCACACAAGACAACTACACTCAACACAAGGTGACTCAAGTTACAGCTGTTCAGAGATCCGCATCAGCCCAAGCTGTAGTGACACAAAGACAAGACAATCTCCAATAGCTCCCCTGGGCCACAGAGCGACTCAAGTTACATAAGACCATCCATTACCTTCTCAAGAAAAAAGTCACAGCTACCAGCAAACCCAATGACAGATGCCACAGCCAACCCCAGATATAAATCAATAGCAGTTACAGCTACAGCAAGACACAAAAGCTATGGATACACATGGTCACAAAGTCGCTGCAAATGCAGCTGCCCTTGGCATGTAAGAGCTTCAGCCACAGCTATATATATGGGCCCGTAGGCCACAGGCAGATGTGGATGCTTTGTCACTTGAATCTTTGCTGGAAGTCATACTTCCTACCTACAACATACATGTGCCTAGGAACATAGCCAGGTACCTGGTGGACATGGCAGAACACACACACAGAACCAAGTCCCACGGAGCTGGCGGTATTTTGAAACAGGGTCTCACTAAGTCATTCAGTTGCCCTGGCTGGGCTCAAACTTGGGATCCTCCTGTCTCAGCCTCCCAGAGTTCTGGAATTACAGGTATGTGCCACCACAGGAGCCTTCTGAGTACAATGATGGCAGAAACCATGACCCCCACAGTGGCACAAGGGCCTTCTGTTCTCAGACGCACATTAGAGCTCATCCATAGTCAACAGGTAAATGTGGCTGATAGAGGTTGGTGGTATCCTCAGTGGGTACCATAGGTGGCCCTGTGGGAAGCCACCCAGATGCCACATTCCTCTGCCCCACAGCTAGCCCTGGACCTTCCGTGTGTGTCAGACTCTGGCCAAGACTCACGAAGGCGTATGACACGTAGATACCCCAGGGCTTTGCCAAACCCTCCTTGCCACACACCCTCCCTCCCCACCCCCCCACTCCCACCGGAAAGCAGGACTCCATGGGGCCACACTCTCTTGCTGGGACAGCTGGGTCCTGTCCCTGTCAGCAGTGATGAGCCAGCTGTGTTTTGGGCCACTGCCCCAAGAGTCCAAGCTCTGCACGTCCCCCATGTCCGGTCAGGGACAGATGCATGAGTCATCTCACTCGCCCACCTTGGGGGTCATGGTTGGTCACCTCCCCAACCCATCGGCCTGCATTTTGGCCTCAGAGCCTGCCTGGTTCCTGTCCCCTGGGGGAAGGGGCCCGCCCCAGCAGCCTCCCCTCCCGCACCTAGTGCTGAGACTTTTCCTTGAAAGGGCAGAAGCCAGCCCCTCTCCTGAATCCCAGAAGCTGACATTCCAAGACTGGACCAGGCCTGTTTTCCTTGGTGGGAACTTTGGCCAAGGGGAGAGACCGGTGCCAACCCCGAGGTCCCTGGAGCCCATGGGCCCAAGCATTGGGGCCTGGTACAGGGCCCCTGGCCTCCATCGGCCCATCTGTCACCCCTCCCCCAGCACCCAGATGTCCCGCCTTGGCAGTGCTGTCCCTGACTGCCTCGTTATTGCTCCAGAATCTGGCAGCTGGGCCCTGGGGGACCTGGGGCCCCTCCAGAGCCCTGGATAGAGGCCAGGGAGGGAAGGGAAGGGACCCTGACAGCCCTCTCCCTGCCGCAGGAGGCAGATATGCCTGATGAGGTCAACATTGATGAGTTGTTGGAGTTGGAGAGTGAAGAAGATAGAAGGCGGAAAATCCAGGTAGATGGGTGAAAGCCACCCCCGGTCTCCCACTTTGCATTGCCCCAAAAGAGCAACCAGAGCTGGGCTGGGGATTTAGCTCAGTGGTGCTGTGCCTGCCTTAAAAGCACAACGTCCTGAGTTTGATCCCCGGTACCGAAAAAAAAAAGAGTAGCCAGAATTAATATGTTTCATGAGCACTTACTTTGCACCAGATGCTGGCTCGATTTCTTTACACTTAGTTACTCTTCTTTTTTTGTTTTGTTTTGTTTTGTTCTTTTTTGAGACAAGGTCTTGCTATGTAGTGGAGGCTGACCTTGAACTCCAGGTGATCCTCCTGCCTCAGCCTCTCCAGTGCTGGGATTACAGGCCTGCACCACTATGTTCTTCCAGTCCCCACAAAACCCAGTAAAGTAGGCACAGTTAATATCTCTATTTTCCAGACAAGGAAAATGAGGCCCAGAGAGGTTGAATCATCTGCCAAGGGTCACACAGCTCAGTCACAGCAGAGCTGTGATGCAAAGACAGGCAGTCTGGCTCCGAGCTCCTTCCATATGGCCTCTGCCCTCTCAAGGGTAGTGCACGTGTAACTTCCTCACCCATGTCACGTGTGACTCAACCTCACCCAAGTCAGCTCCATAAGGGCTGCATCTGTGTCCTTTTCTTGAAATCTGTGGGGTCTGACTTCCATTTCTTTTACTGCCTTTGGGCCTTGTTGGGTAAGGGGAGAGCAGGAGTGGTGACACATGCCTATGATCTCAGCACTTTGAGAGGCTGAGGCAGGAGGATCCCAAGTTCGAGCCCAGAGTGGGCAACTTAGTGACTTAGTGAGACCCTGTGTCAAAAATCAAAGTTTTGGATCAAAATCAGAGGGCTGAAAATGTAGCTCAGTGCAAAGGCCCTGGGCTCAAAAGTCATTCCCCAGTACTGCAATGAGGAAGGAAGGAGGAAAGAGGGGGAGGGGGAAGGGGAGAGCTGGAAGGGTCTGAGTGTTAATCATTTACTATTTTCTGGGGTGCAGGGGCTCCTGAGGTCATGCACGGACCCCACAGAGGTGAGTTTCCCTGCCCCGTGAGGAGGAGGGGCCAGCCATGGCCGCAGCGCGGCTCTTCTCTGCTCTCCAGTGATGTCCTTTGTCGCTGTTGTCCTCCTCCTCCTCCTCTCTCCCCATCTGCTACAGGGGCTCCATGATGAGCTCCCTCCGAGCTGCTCCCCCATCTGCTCCTGCATCCACCTCTCCCGTCTACCTGTCCCGTGCTGTCCTTTGGCTGCCCATTTTTGTCCCTCTCCCCTCCTATCACTGCCTCTACCGCTGGGCTCAATGCCCCACCTCTTGGGGGGCCCCATCCTCCAGCCCTGAAACTGGGCCACCCAACCCCTCCCACTTCCTTCCCTGCTTTAAAAGGGAAAAATATTCATGTTTCTCCAAGAGCTCTGGGCTGCCTGAAGGACAAACGTCACTGTGTCAGTTTGCCCTGGAGCTGTCTCCGGCCTCTGTCTTGGGGGACCCTCCTGTGCCTCTCTAGGCTTGAGAAGCTTCTTCCAGTGACCCTGTGTCTCTCTGTGTGTCTCCATTTCTCTCTCTCTCTCTCTCTCTCCGTTTTATTTTTTTTTTTTTTTGAGTTTTTTTGACTCAGGGTCTCGCTATGTAGTTCAGGTTGGCCTTTTTATTTTATTTTAATTTTTGGTACCGGGTATCGAACTCAGGGCTTGCTCTTCCAAGGCAGGTGCAGTGCCACTGAGCTAAATCCCTGGCCCATGGTCTTGAACTCACTGTGTAGCCCAGGCTGGCCTCAAACTCTAGACAGTCTTCGTACTTCAGCCTCTCAGAGTGCTAGAAACACAGGGGTGCGTCACCACGCCCAGCAGCCATCTCTGTCCCTGTTTCTTTTTCCACTTTGCTCTCTTGCTCTCCCCCCAATCCTTCCCTAACTCCACATCCCTCCATGACCCCAAAGCAGCAGGGAGGGGAGCCAGAGGGACTGGGGGCCCCCTTCCCTGTGTTCTCAGCACCCACCCTGTCTTCAGGACTTCATCCAGGAGCTGCTGGCCAAGCTGCGAGGCCTCCACAAGCAGCCAGGCCTCCGCCAGCCCAGCCCCTCTGAGGACGACAGCCTGAGCCCCCGATAGGACCGGGCCGGACAGTGCCCCCTGACCGCTGTGACCCTCGGCTCTTCCCAGCCCCTGGCCTGTGTATGTGTTGTATTTAATGGTCTGTAACAGTGACCCGCGTGCCTGGTTTTCCTGTCCACAGTCACCCAGGGCTTCTCTGAGCCCCCAGCCTCCCTCTCCTCCTGCATTCCCAACAGATGGAGAATCCCTCCTCCTCCTGCACCTCCACCAACAGGAGTGTGAGAACTGCCCCGCTGACCCAGAGGCAGCCACCTTGGGATCAGACTCACATCCTGTTCCCCTTCTCCCAGCTGGGCCCAGTCCTGGCCAGCAGGACTGTTGTGGGCAGCAGGCTGGGGAGTGCCATGGCCCAGTCCTTGGGCTGGGGGCAATGCACACCACCCAGGGTGGCCCCAGTCACAACACCAGGTGCCACACAGCAAACATGAAGTGATCAGGCCGCCATTGTGTCCTTGGCATGGCTGTTGGAATTGAGGAGGCCACAAACGGGAGCAGAAACGGGAGCAGAAATGGGAGCCTGCACCCTGGCGGAGAAGGGGTCACCGGAGGACTCGGCCAGGTGTGCTGATGGCACAAGGGACTTGGGAGGTGCCAGGAGCCCTTCCCACTGGGGTGGTGAAAAAATCCGGGGGCCTTCCTGAAGGAAGCCTCATGAGGCAGGGCTCTGGAAGATGCTTTGGGATTGGGGTTCAATGGGTACCAGCCATGTCTGGGGGGACTCAGAACTTGGGGGTGGAGGGACTGACCTGGAGTTGAGCCAGGGGAAATACCAGATATTAGCAGGAACTTCCCCCAGTTGTGATGGACATGGACAGCACCCCCTGAGCTGGGTCAGGGAGGTCTCATGCTAAGCAAGAGTTAAAAAATAATCCTTCTGTGCTGGTGCTTGGGGCGACCTGGAGGGGACCTGGGCTCAAGAGGACAGTGGCTGCTTAACACATTTTAACAACAAGTCTGGTAGACCCCGTGCCCCAGCTGTGCAGTCGGGAGAGGGGCAGTGGGCTACTGAAGTGCCCCAGCATTCCTGCTGGGATCAGCGCTCCTTGAAGGGCAGCCTGGCAGGCCCAGCCGGCAGGTGGCCTTGTCCCTGTGCAGAATGAGCAAGTCCACTTGTTGCCTCCCATCACCTGGGGCCACGTCCTTAACCCAACCTAGGCCAGGAAATGCTACTTCCCTGTCCCAGAACCTGGTTTTGGTTCCTCCTCTCCATGAGGGTGGCAGTGTGCTCAAGCCCAGTCCTGCAGTGCCTTGCATTGGGCCTCTGGAAAATGGAACTTCACAGATGAGAAAACTGAGGTCCAATTCGGTGAAGTGCCTGCCTAAAGTCACAGCTGGGAAAGGGCGGTGCTGGGCTTCAGTCCCAGACATCATGACTACAGAGTCCAACTATTTAACTCCCACAAGATGGGGCACACCAAAGCAGGGCTTATTTTTAGTGGTGTGAGCAGATTGGCTAACTCATACTGAGGTGTTAGTGACTGCTCACAGCCCTTGAAGATAGCCTGTCTAAAAGGAATAAAAGTGACTGAGAACAAGGCTACAGCAAAAGGATTGGGAAACAGCATACCATAAGGGTTCAGAGGATAGCTGGCCAGCCCTCAGGAGGCTGAGGCAGGAGGATTGCCATGAGTTTGAGGCCAGTCTGGACTACACAGGGAGACTGTCTCAAAAACAAAAAAACACAGCCTCTGACATTTCTGTCTAGGTTCAAATTATTACTTCCTAGCTGTATGATCTTCAGCGAGTCACTTCCCTCTGTGTCTCAGTGTGGACATTTGCAACGTGAAGAAGATTGGAATTGTCTCTGCTTCCTAGAGGGCTGAGGTTCAGTCACATGGCACAGACCAGGGGCAGGCAGGTACCAAGCACCAAGTGTTACCAATTTTATCTTTGCTAGGAAAGGGTCACCCCTAACTCACCATCCCTGGCTGGCAAGATGTCCCTTTGCAGGCCCTGACATGGAAAAGGCCCCAATGGATGTGTGGACCTGCATTGAGGCCTCACACTCCCACCCTGCCTTCTCCCACTGCCTGTGGTCTGCAACCCACATGGCAGCCAGATGACGCTTGTCGCACTCCCCTCCCCCCGTCTCATCCACGTCCTTCCCTATTCCTCTTCCCTCCAGAGGTCATGTTGTTACGAATTTCTTGGTATGGTTCCAGGATCTGCAAACCCCAGGGAGCTAGCAAGAATCTATGTCCTATCCCCTCTTTTGGTGCCACATGGCAGATTTTACCTCCCACCCCACCCCCATACTGGGGACTGAAACCAGGGCCTCACGTGAGCTGTATCTCCAGCCCTTTAAATTTTTTTTTATTCTAAGACAGGGTCTCGCTAAGAGACTAAATTGCCCAGGCTGGGCTAAAATGGGATCTTCCTGCCTCAGCCTCCCAGAGTACATCTTGTCTTTTTCATTTCACAACCCACGTTGGAGGTGCAGGTTAGGGTTAGGGTTAGCAATGCTCTGCCCTGGTCCCCAGTCTCGCTCCTTTACTGTTCTCACAGCCCCAGGGTTCCCCTGCAGGTCTCCAGCTTTCCCTGCCCGCAGCGCTCAGATTCCTTCATCCTCGCGGTCATTTAGATGTCAGTCTCTGGTGGTACTTTGAGCACCTAATCCTTGTGTTCTCGCGTCTAGAGCAGCACCCGGCCCACAGTAGGTACATGGATAGTGGCAGCGCCACCTGGTGGCCATGTTCCACGCGCAGCTGCCTCTCGCAGGTGCGAGCCTCTGCGCCCTCTCCTGGCTATGTGAGTTGGGGTTTTTTGCTACCGGGGCTCGAACTCGGGACCTTGCAGAGGCAGCGGCAGAACCATTGAGCTAAATCTCTGGCCTGTGTGAGTTGGTTTAAAAGACTCGAACGTGAGCTAGGGTCACTGAGTCGCAACCAAGGTAGCAGACATTTAGTCCTAGAACAGGCCCAGGTTGGATGTTACAAAGCTCTTGCCCATCTTTACCTCCTCTCAACACCAGAGGCTTTGCTAAGCAGGATGAGAAATACTAGATCTGAGCTTGCAGTGATGATATGATTGGGAGTCACATTTGATTAAAATGTCTTAGAAATACTTCTTGCTGCAATAATAAAGAAGGCCGGAAGGCTTTTAAAAAAATATTTACTTACTGGGGGCTGGGGATTTAGCTCAGTGGTTCAGGCGCCTGCCTTGCAAGCACAAAGTCCCGAGTTCGATCCCCAGCACCAAAAAAAAAAAAAAACTAACCCAAAACAAACAAACAAAATATTCATTTTGGTACTGGTGATGAACTCAGGACCTTGTGCTTGCAAGGCAGGCGTGGTGCCACTGAGCTAAATCCCCAGCCCCTGGGAAGGCTTTTCTTTTTTCTTTATTTGTTTATTTATTTATTTATTTATTTTTAGGAAGGCTTTTCTTAAAAAAAATTTTTATGTTTTTCAAAAATTTTATTATTATTATTATTTTGTGGTACTGGGGAATCGAACTCAGGACCTTGCACTTGCCAGGGAGGCACCGTGCCACTGAGCTACATCCCTGGCCCTAGGAAGGCTTTTAATGAAGGGTTTGATATAGAGCACCAAGTAATCCAAACAAGCAAAATAATCCAAACAAGGAAATATAACTCCCAACTTGCTAGATATCTGATACACAAATTTGTCTTCTCTAAAATCGAAGAATAAATTCTAGGAACAACAGAGGCTGAGAGTAGGAAAAATTTATTTAGAGAAAGACAGCTTCTGTCTAAGACAGAAGAGGGACCAGAAAGTGGGTTCCCTGCTTTTCAAAGATGTTTTATAGCGCAAAGCCATGAAGTAAGATGGGTGCAAATTTAAAAAAAAAAAAAAAAAGATGGGTACAAAGTGGGACAAAACTGTAAGGCCCAATGGACAATGACAAGGTGGGCATGAGGTGGGACAAAACCATGATTAACCAATAAGATTACAACTACAGTCACCCAGGTAATATTGATTAAATGGGGATCAAATGGGAAAACAAGTGACATACAAGGAATTCCTAGAAAGGAAATGGGCTAGGGAGATTGATGTCTATTTAGAATATCAATCACTGGGCCAGGGATTTAGCTCAGTGGTTTTGCCACCTGCTGCGCAAGCGCAAGGATCCAAGTTTGATCCCCAGTACCAAAAATAAATAAATAAATAGATAGATAGATAAATAAATAAAAGAATATCAATCACTGCTATTCATCTCTAGGAGAAGTAGATAAGTGTAGTACCTTTTCTCTTTTTATAAAGTTAACCAGTGAATGTGCCTCAATTGTTTTTCTATGCTGTGGGCCCAGGTTTATCTAACTATCTTATAATTTCTAATTTAGTGAATGTGGTTGATATGAGAATAGCTTGTCAAAAATTCAATATTGTGGGCTGGGGATTTAGCTCATTGGTTCTGCTGCCTGCCTCCCAAGCCCAAGGTTGTCAGTTTGATCCCTGATACCAAAAAAAAAAATTCAATATTGTATTGCTGACACTGCAGTAATCAATTGAAACATAATATTTTTTGAATTGCAAAAAATTATTATTATTATTATTATTGTTATTATTATTTTGGTTATTTGAGACAGTGTCTCACTATGTAGCCCAGGCTGGTGATCCTCCTACCTCAGCCTCCGGAGTGCTGGGATTATAGGCGTGCACCACTATGCCAGGGTCTCTCCTTCTCTTCCTCTCTCCCCCATGAGGGTCAAACCCAGGGCCTTGTGTATGCCAGGTAAGTGCTTGCTCTACCACTGACCTCTGTCCAGTTCCCTGGGTCACTTTCTGGTTCAGAAACTTCCTCTTGGCAGATGGCTGTCTTCTTGCTATGTCTTCATGTGACAGAGGAATAAGGGAGCTCTGTTTTTTGTTTTGTTTTGAGAGAGAGTATTTTGCTTTGTACCCCAGGCTGTGCTTGAACTCATAGCAATCTTCCTGCCTCAGCCTCCTAGAGAGCTGGAATCACAGGTATGTGGCCACACCTGGCCTAAGGTTCTATAAGGATGCCAGCCTTCCTCTGGAGAGCTCAACCTTCATGATTTAATCACCTCCTAGTGGCTTCACTTCCTAAAGTCACCACACTGGTGATTAGATTTTCATCTTTTTTTTTGGTGTTTTTGAGACAGTCTTTTGAACTCACAATCCTGCCTCAGCCTCCTAAGTGCTAGGGTTATAGGCGTTTGCCATTATACTCAGCTCAGCTGTGAATTTGTTTTGTTTTTTTGTTTTGGTACCGGGGATCGAACTCAGGACCTTATACTTGTGAGGCAGGTGCCGGAACCACTGAGCTAAATCCCCGGCCCCTCAACTGTGAATTTTGAAGGAAACACATTCAATTCATAGCCTAGAACAATGAAGTAGAGGTGATAAACCTCAGAGAGTATAAATCTGGGCTGGGTGCAGTGAGCTCATGCCCAGCCCAGCACCAAAACCAGGTGTGTTTAATGGACTCACTGGGAAAAGAATATCCAGAATGATGACCGG